TAGTGCTGCAAGGTGTTGTTTTTTATCCCTGATGTACGAGTAGCTTTTTCTACAGTTTCTATAATTCTCTTAACGTATGAAAATATGCAGGTTTTCTGATATAATAAGACTTTGATAAAATCAAAACCAATAATACTTTTAAAGTCGAGAGTCGGGATAAATATCGGCAAGGTGGAGATATGTCCCGCCGGCGCTTCCGCAACAGCAAGACTGAAGGACGCAAGTTACAAAGCAAAACATGTTTAGTCAAGTTAAAGACTTAATTACCGGTTTAACTTCGGCGGCAGTGCCTACTGCTGTGAGCAACATGCGCTGTCCATCGTAATCCCCCTATCATTAACACTGTCGGGGACGTGCGCATTAGCGCGTCTGATGTAGACAGCGTGTGCTATTAAAGTGACCGGGGACTTATTAGCTATAGTGTATATATAAGGAAAGGGAGGTTCAGAAGGGGGGGGGGGTACTAAACCATATTTTTGGCTGGAAAAGTTAGGTTCTGAGTCAAATTGGATTGAAAATACTTTAGGAATAACAGGTTCCTATAAAAAGGTCCCTTTTTACTGAAAATGAACCCACGTCCTTCGGAAATGTTTTTTGCCCCCCCCCCCAAATCCTTGTGAAGATATTAAAAAAAATTAATTTGGTGATGACACACACACACACACATGCTTTACATTAGATAGCTATTCTCATAAAAGTCTTAATTGTCTAAAATAGTACGTATTTTTTTCAAACAGGTTTTAAAAATTCACAAATAAAAAGCATAGCATTATGAGTCATCATTTCAGCATTATACGATAATGGAATATGGTGTGTATCATAACATTTTCCTAACACATCCTTTATATGATACGTCTTCCATAATCAACAGTGGCAAACAGACATGTTGTTTTACGTATGATTAAATTAATTTTTAACAGAGCATGAGTGGAGTTGATGAAGATGAAAACATAAATAAAAATGAATCGACATATATAAATTACATGGCTATATTTCTACCTGTGCATCTTTCTCCTTCCCAGTTTTCTCTTTTCCTTCCTGGTAATTTTTAATAAATTCCTTGATAGAGCCATTCCTCCATGGTCCATCAATTGGTAAATCTTCCCTCGTTGGCTGGCGACCAAGTTTAGGCTCGTAAGGAGAAGCTGGTCCAAAAGTGTCCATGAGACGTTTCTTGTAATCATCCTTATTGAACCCTTGAAAGAAATTCATTGCAAATAATTCAATTCAAATAAAAAAGATAACAGATAAACAAGCAAAGTTTAATTATAAAACCATAATTGCTAAAATTGCTTACAAGTCTGTGTCATAAACTTTTCAGCTTACTGGCCGTTTAAACCTCCACTTTCCTATAATCCAAAGTTCTAAATCAGGATTTAAACGGAAGTGGACACTGTCCCCTTTTGAAAAAATATTAGTAATGACAAGACCTCGATTTTGTCAAATATTTTTCCACCATTTCTCCTATTTATGGTGAAAGCCAGGACAACATTTGTCATTAATTTGTATGTGAAACCCATCTGTGTGTCAAACTCTTTTGAATGTAAAATCCATTTATTTCACATTTAACTCAGACTTGTATTTCACCTGTACCTATATTAGTACAGGAAACAGCAGATGACACATGCTGGTAAATGGCGTAGCTCAACTCATTCTGTCACTAGTACCAGCATATACTGGTATATTTACTAGTATAATTAAAACATCTACATAATTTGATGATGGCAAAACATGCCTACTACTGTACAGTACGTAGTACTACTTTTAAATAGTTAAAACTTAAACTGGTTTTAATTATCACTTCAAAATTTATTTTCTTCTGATACACATGAACTGATTTTTGAAATAAAGAAGTAAAATGAGGCAAAACTTGGAAAAAAACAAGTTCTGGAAATAAATCACCTTTACAAGCTGCCAAAGATTCCAGCACCACCAGTGCTTGGTCGCCATAGCATGTGAATCTCCCAGTTGGCTGCTTATAGAAAGGACAGTGACTTTCCTCTATAAACTCAGGGTGTGTTCTACCTTGTAGCACCTTGTCTAGCACTTCAGTGTTATAAATCCAATGGATGGGTTGGCCTAACATTGACAGATACATGTACATGAAGTTATTATTAGTTGGCCAGTTAATAAGAGTTGGGATTATTCGATTATTTCTACTTTATTCTACTTTAGACACCAGTTCTCAAGGACAGTTAAGGGCATGCTGATAGTACAGACAATGTACATGCATGTGTTTCTGGTGTCCTCTGAAACTAGGGGTGAAACATATTACATAGCTTCATGATTACATTACCAGTAATATACATCTTAATAATTAGCTCCACAATTCCAATTTTAATAAAAAGGTATTTGTAATACTATTCTGGTATAGAAATAAGGAAGTAAAAGTTCAACATAAAAAATATTTTGGATAAGGAAATGCATGGTTATTAAATTACTGGAAATAAAACACATATATATACATCATAAAACGACAATGCTTTACCGGTACAGACGGTTTAACTCTTTAAACTCACAAACTCAGGGTATAGAGAGATCTTTTAATTAAAACTATAATGAAAAATTACAGTAAATTCATAAATGTTATAATTATCTGAGTCTCCTACCGGCTGCATCAGCCACAAGGCTACCAACAATAGCTCCTACTGCTCTCTGTTTTACTGTCAAAGACGCCATGACTCAGCTTAAAAACCCAACCTTTTGTACTGTTCACTTCAACACACGTGTTTTCTTTTTGTTGACAGGCTAGTGGCCTAGATATATTGGTCAAAGGTCATAAGACTGACCCACCAATAAGAACAATGCAGAGAACACCACTGTGTTAGCTGTGCACTGGATTGGGCCTGCAAGCACATCTAACACAATCTATACTTAACTCTTACCAGATGATTGGTCTTAAAATTCGAAACGTAATTATAAGTTCTTTTTTCATTAGTTGAATTTAGCTATTTAATCTTCACGTTTTTAAACTGGAAACGCATATGCCATTTCTCGATTTTGGATAGGAAATAAACCCTTACGAAAATTTCCTATAGGGCGTCGTTTAGGTCTAGAGATGGGGCTTTATATGAATGTTATATGATTTTGAGGGACACTATATAGAACATCCTTTATGTCAAATAGGAAATTACCGTAGGGGAATAAAAACGAGTAATGTTACCAAGAACGTGTATTAGCTTTTTTGTTGTAACTTAGATCTATGCACCAATCGGAAATCCTTTTATACTGCCTGATGTCTATTTACTTTTTTTTTAAAGAGCACCACTCCTAACCTAGTTCATTTTTTTTTGGCCTCCTTTCCCCTAATTTTTTCATCTCCAGAAAGATATGAAGAAGAACTGCTCTACCCACGCAATACCCGAAATGAAAGCAACTTTGGTTAGTTAATTTTTTAAAATTTTATATGAAAAGATCTATCTGAAATGCTGATAATGTTAATGAATATATCAGATAAAGATCGTTTCACTATTCAAGTCCCCACATCCTAATTAGTACAATGTAAATCTTCGCAACTCTTTTTCGTTTCCCGTATCCGCTTATCAAAGGGGCGTCATGTATTTTTAAAAGATTTTTTTTCCATTGATGAATTTCAATACATTGGTAATTTCATCCAATTTCACAGTGCTAATAATAAATGAGCTTTTAGGTAATTTTTGTGGAGACGAAATGGTGTTTTAAACAGGTTATACACGTACTATAGTAGGCCTATATAAGTGAGCGATACATACTATATACAGTAAATATATAATGGAATGACGAAGGCGTAATGTTAACAACCGAGGCAAGTCTTATTATACATCACTCTCTAAACAATACGTTGGGCGTTGGTGTCACCATCCTTATTTCTTAAATGATAATACTCACTTTACGTGGGATGAGAAAATCAAAGACACCCATACCTGTCAATCATGGGGCACTTATTCCGGAAGTGGACGGTCCGTGACGTCATAGCTCCGCCCCTAAACATTGTCGTCTTGCATGGAAGAAGAGACTACAGTCGAACACAGTTTTATTAATGGATAGAGCTCACTGTGGATCTTATTTGACGAGGACGAAGGGGGCTTGTGTAAGTACCATTACCTGGTTTTAATGATAAAGAGTTAGCTGTAGTTAAAGCCGCGTAAGTCATGATAGCGTGGCTTGCCAGCAAGTCTATGCTGGTTCAACGTGCTTCGTCGAGCTGTTTCGGCTTTCATATTCGACAAAGTGTTGATACTATTATCTTCGACTCACGTAAAGACTTATGCTAAGCTTATATATCTAAATTTGCCATGTTACATAGAAGACATCTAGCCTCTTAGAAGCGTTCATCTAGGGATATAATTTTTATCTTATAATTATAACGTTAGTGACTGCCTCGAAAGTTTCAGAATCGCCTTAGCCTCAAATCGATCTCATTGTCTATATTTCTGCCCACCTAAGCTGCGTCTGTAGTATCGTTTTCAGTTTACCTGGTATAAATGTTTGATACGGTAGACATAAGTGTTGAAACTTATATGGGACACTGCTGACCTTTATATGAATTTGTAAGCTTACTGAAAATGATTGACATGGCATAAAACTTGAAAACAAGACCAAAAGAGAAACACAGGGTTAAAGCAGTTTCATACTACGGTCATGTTGATCTGGTATATTTCAGTTAAGGGACAATAAAACAGCCTAGCAAATAAATTGAGCACTGTTGCTGCCAGCTCAGGGCAATGTAGACACACACACAGTACACCTGTCACTTTGTTAACTGTTGGTCCTAGATTTAAACGAGATAGGTATTCCCCATAACATTTAATGTGAAGCTGGAACAAATTTACCAGTCTAAGATCCTTGCTCCTACCCAAAAAGAATGGAGTCAAAAATAGGACATTGAAAGACAAACAATATTACGAATAATTGTTGAAAATTTAACGATAACGATGCACTTGTTCCCTAGTCCCATTATTTACATTCGCGTCTATGGATTAGTCATCAGAATGGGTAATGGATTACTGAACAACCCTGTACGAGACAGTATTGTGTGTGCGTTGGGACCCTTTTTGTGCTGTGAAAATAATGGCGAACAAGAGTGTCTGTTTTCACAACACAAGAGAACCAGAGCCGTGGGGCAGGCGAAGAAAAGAAACGAGGTCAGCTGGTGCCGCGGGTACACTTTATGTTGACTTTTTGATTTACTACGTTTATTGATCTGCAAAACAAAGCATTCATTCTGCAGTGATGAACATGATCAAAGGTCCAGATATTTCTCTTTTTTAATTAGACTTTTTTTTTCTGTGTGTNGTAATGACAAGGCCTCGATTTTGTCAAATATTTTTCCACCATTTCTCCTATTTATGGTGAAAGCCAGGAAAACATTTGTCATTAATTTGTATGTGAAACCCATCTGTGTGTCAAACTCTTTTGAATGTAAAATCCATTTATTTCACATTTAATTCAGACTTGTATTTCACCTGTTCCTATATTAGTACAGGAAACACCAGATGACACATGCTGGTAAATGGCGTAGCTCAACTCATTCTCTCACTAGTACCAGCATATACTAGTATAATTAAAGCATCTACATAATTTGATGGTGACAAAACATGCCTACTACAGTACGTACATGTAGTACTACTTTTAAATAGTTAAAACTTAAACTGGTTTTAATTATCACTTCAAAATTTATTTTCTTCTGATACATGTGAATTGATTTTTAAAATAAAGAAGTAAAAAAATGAGGCAAAACTTGGAAAAAAAACAAGTTTTGGAAATAAATCACCTTTACAAGCTGCCAAAGATTCCAGCACCACCAGTGCTTGGTCGCCATAGCATGTGAATCTCCCAGTTGGCTGCTTATAGAAAGGACAGTGACTTTCCTCTATAAACTCAGGGTGTTTTCTACCTTGTAGCACCTTGTCTAGCACTTCAGTGTTATAAATCCAATGGATGGGTTGGCCTAACATTGACAGATACATGTACATGAAGTTATTATTAGTTGGCCAGTTAATAAGAGTTGAGATTCTTCGATCATTTCTACTTTATTCTACTTTAGACACCCCATTCTCAAGGACAGTTAAGGGCATGCTGATAGTACAGACAATGTACATACATGTGTTTCTGGTGTCCTCTGAAACTAGGGGTGAAACATATTACATAGCTTCATGATTACATTACCAGTATTATACATCTTAATATTTAGCTCCACAATTCCAATTTTAATAAAAATTTAAGGTATTTGTAATACTATTCTGTTATAGAAATAAGGAAGTAAAAGTTAAACATAAAAAATATTTTGGATAAGGAAATGCATGGTTATTAAATTACTGGAAATAAAACACATATATACATCATCAAACGGCGATGCTTTACCGGTACAGACGGTTTAACTCTTTAAACTCTCAAACTCAGGGTATATATAGAGAGATCTTTTAATTAAAACTATAATGAAAAATTACAGTAAATTCATAAATGTTATAATTAACTGAGTCTCCTACCGGCTGCATCAGCCACAAGGCTACCAACAATAGCTCCTACTGCTCTCTGTTTTACTGTCAAGGACGCCATGACTCAGCTTAAAAACCCAACCTTTTGTACTGTTCACTTCAACACACGTGTTTTCTTTTTGTTGACAGGCTAGTGGCCTAGATATATAGGTCAAAGGTCATAAGACTGACCCACCAATAAGAACAATGCAGAGAACACCACTGTGTTAGCTGTGCACTGGATTGGGACTGCAAGCACATCTAACACAATCTATACTTAACTCTTACCAGATGATTGGTCTTAAACTTCGAAACGTAATTATAAGTTCTTTTTTCATTAGTTGAATTTAGCTATTTAATCTTCACGTTTCTAAACTGGAAACGCATATGCCATTTCTCGATTTTGGATAGGAAATAAACCCTTACGAAAATTTCCTATAGGGCGTCGTTTAGGTCTAGAGATGGGACTTTATATGAATGTTATATGATTTTGAGGGACACTATATAGAACATCCTTTATGTCAAATAGGAAATTCCCGTAGGGGAATAAAAACGAGTAATGTTACCAAGAACGTGTATTAGCTTTTTTGTTGTAACTTAGATCTATGCACCAATCGGAAATCCTTTTATACTGCCTGATGTCTATTTACTTTTTTTTTTAAAGAGCACCACTCCTAACCTAGTTAATTTTTTTTTTTGCCTCCTTTCCCCTAATTTTTTCATCTCCAGAAAGATATGAAGAAGAACTGCTCTACCCACACAATACCCGAAATGAAAGCAACTTTGGTTGGTTAATTTTTTTAAATTTTATATGAAAAGATCTATCTGAAATGCTGATAATGTTAATGAATATATCAGATAAAGATCGTTTCACTATTCAAGTCCCCACATCCTAATTAGCACAATGTAAATCTTCGCAACTCTTTTTCGTTTCCCGTATCCGCTTATCAAAGGGGCGCCATGTATTTTTAAAATAATTTTTTTCCATTGATGAATTTCAATACATTGGTAATTTCATCCAATTTCACAGTGCTAATAATAAATGAGCTTTTAGGTAATTTTTGTGGAGACGAAATGGTGTTTTAAACAGGTTATACACGTACTATAGTATATAAGTGAGCGATACATACTATATATACAGTAAATATATAATGGAATGACGAAGGCGTAATGTTAACAACCGAGGCAAGTCTTATTATACATCACTCTGTAAACAATACGTTGGGCGTTGGTGTCACCATCCTTATTTCTTAAATGATAATTCACACTTTACGTGGGATGA